CAGCTGGCAGAGGTGGAGAGCAGCTGCAGGGCGCGAGGAGAGTTGGCGGCACAGGTGACTCGTTGTCTAAAAGGATACACCCATTGGGAGGTGGCAGCTCAAGAGAGGATCACACTCAGGGAGTTCGAGCTTCGGGCGGCGGCATTGACGGAGGGTGACAGTCGGAGTCGGCGGCGAGTGGCAAGAAAATTAGAAACCTTCTTGTCGGGTGCGCGCGACACTATGGCGCACTTGCAGTCGGAAGTCACCACAGCGCTCCGACGCCTGGGGTTACGCAGCCGATCGGAAGACTGGCAAGGTAGAGACAGTAAGCGGAGCAGTCCGGCGCGCAGGAGGCGCAGCACCGGATCTGCTGAGTGCAGTAGAGTAGTTTGGTTTCGCGCAGATGCTGCGAGTGGTAGATAGGATAGCGTAGTGCTAGTTAGGATCTTTTGAGAGTATAAAGTAGATCAAGGCGTTTTGCCTTGGGACTCTTCCAGTTTCGGAAGTGCAGATTAGGAACTCACTTTCTTGGCGTGTTTGTGCATTTTGGTCCTGGCACCACGTAGAGAAGCTGCAGCATAGCGAAGTTACCGTATGTTGTAGTTGAAGGCCTTCGGCTGAATGTTCAGAGCTAGTACCCGGTTAGAGACTTGAGTAGTGCGGATCTGCACCTGCGGGTGATTTCTGATGCTCAGAGCCGGCTGCGAGTTAGAGACTTGAACAGTTCCCCCTTACTCCTTCGAGTGACATATCCTGATTGTACTCCTACGGGAAGTTTCCCCTGAATGCCAATGTGAAGTTTCATTACTTCGTGTAAACCTTGGTTTGTAATTCAGGTTGTGTGTGTGTTACTGGATCGTGTTTTCAGTAAGTTCTCAGTCGGGTCTGCACTCCCTGCGTTTTGTGTGATAGTCGAGGGTGACGTCCACGGCGTACGTAGAGGCTTCGTTCCGAAGTGGGAAGTCCAGTCCGGGTACCCCCGCTAGTTCCTGGCGGAAGGGCAGTAAAAGCCGGAGTGGGAGGCACTACCTGCAGAACCTCTGAGTGAACTTGCAAGACACTTTCCTCCTGAAATCCGAAGCGGAGGTCCTGACCGACCTCCGAGTTGTGCTTTTTGCCAGTTTCAGGTGTGTGTGTGTGTGTGTGTGTGTTGAGTGACCACGCTGTACCGTGCATCCTCCGAGCATCCTCCGAGTTGAGATCCTCCTCCGAGTCGAGCCTCCGAGTCGAGCACTGCAGTATTTCTGGGAGTGACAGTCGCCTAGAATTCAAACTCTACAAAAGTCTGTTAAACGTGACACTTTTACTCTGTGTGTTGCCTCTGTCCCTGTGGGTTCGATCTTTTTACCACCATACTGCAGTTTTAGCCTTTGGTGGGTTATTACATAAGGAGCCGACAACTTCTTTTTGGCGCCGCTGCCGGGGACAGTGCGTCAACACCAGAATACTTGAGCAGCAATGCTCGGTGAATGTCGACGAGCGATAGTGTGGGAAACCTGAGTGCGAGAGCCACACGGAAACTCCTTCGAGATTCAGAAAAAGCCGTGGAAACAAAACGGCGAACTAAAAAGAAGACTCCCGGTGAGGACTCTGCAGAAAGATCGCCATCATCGACTACTGGAAGACAAAGGCGTTCCAGTTCACCTACCGAGAGCATTGAGCTAACTGTTCTATTGGACATTCCTCCGACAGAAACTCTTCCTGAGTTTGGCCAACCTAGGATCAGTCCGTCGACAGGATCACCGATGGCAGACCATCAAGCCAATCTCTGCCAGGTGTTTTCCCAACCTACCACCAAACATTCGTATCCAAGATACACGGGAACGGGCGACGACGATGATGCAGATTCATACATAAAGCTCTTCGAGTCTGTCTCCATCGCCAATCGTGAGACCAGTGATGAAGACAGACTACGAATCTTTCCTAGCCTGCTACGCAGACGAGCGCGTAGCTGGTACAACCATGAGAGCACCGACCCCACTGGCATCCGGACCTGGGCTCAGCTCAAGGAAAAGTTTCTGAGGCGGTTCCGCGAACTCGGATATGACAGTCGAGTTCTGACCCGGCTTCGAAATCTTCGACGCGAGCGGAAGGAGAATCTTCGAAACTATACTGAGAGATTCCAAGACCTCCTAGATCGAATTCCGAAGACAGGCCCAGGAGAACCATATTCGGTACAACAAGCAGTGGATTGGTATGTGACAGGGCTCTCAAGAGAAATGGAGACCTTCTGTAGGAGAGGCAAGATTGACACAATCCAAGATGTGATAGCTTCTGCGGAGACCTTTGAGACGTCAACCCTTGACACTCGAAGACGCGACCGACGGTCGACGAAGAAGAAGTCGCAAGGCGGACGTCGGAAGAGAAGGAACTCGCCTTCCTCGACAGAAGAATCAAGCTCCTCCGAATCAAGTTCTTCCTCGGAAGAGGAAGAGGACTCGTCATCTTCAGAAGAAGCAGACGGGAGAAGAAACGCAGTGCGATCAAGAAGAAGGATCGAGGTAAGGGAATCCCAGTGAAGACTCAAGGGGACATCGCAGCCAAGGTAGACAACCTGGTGAAGAATTTTGCGGACCTGAAAGTTCATGTAGTGGGAGGCCAAGACCGACGTAAATCACCTGCGAGACAACGAGCGAATCTCTGGTGTACTACGTGCGGACAGGTGGGACATGCCAACACGGAGTGCATGTCCGCGCGGCCATCTTACCCAGTGAATGCGGTCGAATGGGCACCACAGTGGGAGAACCCCATGTATTATGCTGAGCCGCCCATGTATTATGCTGAGCAGGTTGAGGACACCGCCTACTCGGTACAGACAGCTCCAGCTACAACTCCGAACCCACCGGTGCATATACCGCGCTTTGTTCCGAGGGAAATGGCGGGTACACTCCCACCAAGACGCATGGCACCTCCAAGCAATCACAACCGACCTCGACCACAATTCGATGGTTGCTACAACTGCGGAGACATGGGACATTACGCGCCAAGCTGTCCCCACCCGAGGAAGCCAATGGGGTATGCACCATTGGCTTATGCATATGCACCATGCCTGCGCAGAGGTGTTAATCCTCCCCGCCTACGAGTAGGCGACATTGGCGGCGGACATCCCGCCGACGTCAAACCCTATTTCGCCTACGCGTAGGCGGACTTCCCTCGTCCGCGCATAGGACAAACTTTCCTCGCCTACTCGTAGGCGAGAAGCTGAGTGTCTTGCGACCTTCATAACTCCCGGAATCCTCCTCCGTTCGTGGCGTTCTTGGGCTCGTTAGAATAAGCGCGTTGAGCTCTTTCCAACGAAAACCTAATCAAGTCAAGGCGTTTGGGAATTGACCAGGTTCTGAAGGATTCCTCTAGCGCCGAAGGCGGATTTCGCGCCTTGCGCCGAAGGGGTTATTCCTTCAGAGCCCACATGTAGGGTGGTGTCTGTCCCCGACGTTGCACCCAACTCTTGGATTCTACGAGTTCTCTCGAGATTCTCTGCGATCTTTCAGTTCACTCTATTTTGATGCACCGAGGGCTATTTACACTGCTGCCGCGGTACAGTTTTCCAAAAATGTTTTAATTTCCTCAAAAATACCAAAAGTGGGGTACCACAGCAAGCAAGCATACATCCACCCAAGGATCTGGACTCGCAAACCAAAGCGTCCCTCTTCCTCGAGCTGACCCCGGCAACACGCCCGAGAGATCAAACAATTATGACATCCGCGCAGCTGCGCATTCTTGCCGATCCCGATGGACGACGCTTTCCACTCCTCCTCGATAGAAACCTACACAATCTCATCTATTTGATTTAAGTGTACTGAGTTATTCGAGTATAACATAATTGAAACACAAGGTACAAGAGTCGAGCCAAACTCATTACACCGAGGTAGAATAAGAGTCGAAGCTATTAGGAAGAGCCCCGACGTCTAAGGCTCAACCTCGAATATATATTATGCGAAACATCGACCCAATCCAACGCTCCTGGACCGTTTGCCGCGGCCCAAGATGTCTCCGATTCTACTCAAATCTATCGTAGATCTGCACCTGCACTAACGTGCCTACACATGACAAACCACACTTGATTACTAAATTGCTGTAAACTTTCTTTCCAACATGATATAGAGAACACTCAAACGTTTAAAAGCTCCTTTTGTTTTCCCATGTTCATTTCATAGCCATCATCATTGTTTTGCCACGTCATTTTCACAACTGCTCTATATGAAACCCAATATATTTTTTATCAGACGAAAATGGAAACATCTTAAATCATCTCATTTGTCTTGTACAAATCATCAGATTTCCTGTAACAAAGATACAATTTTTTCCCATGTTGAAAATGTTGCTCGTCGTAGCGAGAGCCACAATAGCACGCACAGATTTCGTACTTGCAAAAACTGTATGTACAGTTGGACTCTAGACCTAGATAGCTTCCACTAGCTTTTGGCCAAATATAAGATATGCTTCTAATTTTAAAAAATTAATCGAGTTAACTCTAATTTTTAAAAACGTCAATCAACCATTAGCACTATACGGATGTAAACATAAAAAGGCAAGAGATGATTTACCATATACGTACATCTTTTAAAAAATATCTTAGTATTTTTTTTTTGGATTTAATCTCTGGGAGAGGAACACGGGATAGGAGTTGATACATAGATAATATATTCAATCTCCAAAGTTGTGCGTGATTTTCATTAACCCAAGAGAAACAAGATGCACGTAAAAAACTCGTAGTTTCTGCTGTCTGAGCACATTTTGAGTAATGTTGTCCATCGTCTTTATTGGATCAGATATCGTTGAATGAATTTTATCTAAACCTAAACTATTCAGTAAGTTCTCATGATTTTGACGGTTCCTATTTCGAACTGCGCAGGGAACTCCCAGTCCGAGTCTTGTGAGGTGAGATAGCGTTCAATAGGAAATAATTTCTAAGATACAAATTCAAAGAAAAAACTAGTGAATACAAAGTCTCCACAACTAAGAATAGTTCAGACACCTCCGACTGAACTTGTGTAGGACGCCAATGCTCTTCGAACCTATTGGAAGTCTTGTTTGAGGTTGGAGATTGTGTACCCGGTCTTTGGGCCGGTGTTCCTCGCGCCTTTTGAGACTATAGTCACTACGATGTACGTGTTGTAATCTGTGATGCCCAGTCGTTTCAGAGCGGCGTTTACGGAGTACCGGATGGTCACAATGCGGAACTCGTCTGAGTTGCTGGACGACTCGGACACAGATTTGCTCATGCCACTCGGTAGATGCGTGAACGTACCCACGTACTCCGACATGTACAGATGCGTCTGCCTGTTAGCTGCCGGGTAATTGATGAACACGTCAAATCTGGCGTATTCTGAATGCGGGATTTTCACCTTCTCCAGCACGACGTTCTCCTGCAACTGATCCACATTCTTCACCCCGCTCTGCCCAGCATCTTTGCTCGTCGGAGCTCGACGATCCAGCCTAAAACTCACAGGATCCGTGCCGATGTAGTTGTATCGTGATGGAGCTGCTGCAGGATAGTCACTGGAATTGCTTGTCCCGGACGACTGATGGGGAGGCATGGGCTCGTAGTATATCCACATATTGTCAGATTTGCTCACGTCCGTGAACTTGTACCCGAGCTTGGAGCTGTCGAGGCTGTCCCTCACCTTGATGATCACCATGTCCTGATTTTCGTCGTAGAAGGTGAACTCGGTGTCCAGAAAGTCTCTGGAAGTGTAATCCATTCTCTTCCTGGTACCGGATTTCGTGACCTTGTCGGGGATGGTTTTCCACACGTCCCACAGGCGGTCGACATTGGAGTGATGACTGTAGAAGATGGGGTCCCGAGCGGAGTAGATGAAATCGCCCATGTCCTCGTTGTCGGGGTGATTTGGGTCATTGATGAGCCCTGTCCACTCGTGGGCGACGTTGTGGGCATTCTCCATGCCACCGGACTCTCCGGGAACTTCACCGGCGCTGACGTTGACGGTCGCCGCGGAGTTATCAGTCCCGACGACGTAAGGTCCACCGAGAAAGTCTCGAGCGCTGATCTTCGTGGCCACCTGGTTGTACATGACGCACAGGTTCTCGTATCTGATCTGCTTGTCGGTCAGGTTCTGCTTGCCCTCTGCTTCGAGCTTGGAGTTGTATCCCAGGTGCAAGATCTTGGGAGGCATGTGGTTGGGGTTTCTGAACTGGTCGAAGAGGGCCGCGCTGGGAACGCTGAAGTTGGGCAGGAACATGGCGGGGATCATCGCTGCGTCCTGGTCCAACTGGTTGTCCCAATGCGAAGGTGGGATCGTTGATTAAACTGGCAAGAATTCTCTCGTGGTAGTACAGATAGATCCGATGCCACGGAAGAAACGTCCAGCTGTAGTGCACCTGCAGCGGAACGCCGGTCTCAGGCCCTCTGGGCCCTGAGTCTTTCGCTGCTCGAAGGCCTCGTTACAGAAGGAGCAGTGGACCCTCCACTGATTTAGGAAACTCCGCGGGTCCGTGTCGGGGAGCGCCTTCATTCTAGCGTAAGCTAGATTGTACTTCCGGACATACTCGGGGTCCTTCTGCACGACGTGCGCGGGTTTCCTCTCGCGCAGAAACAGGCGACCGGTGAGGTTACGAGGTATGAGAGGAAATCTGAATCTGATCGGTGTTCTCTTGGGAGCAGGCAGCAATGCAGTGGAGCTCCCTTGAGCACTGGAACATTTTTGCAGAATCCCTGGACGCAAGTACTGGATCTGCGTCCACGGTTCCGAGAAGTGTTTGCAAGCAGACCACAGAGACGCAGATGTAAGCGACCCACTTCAACTGTTGACTGCTCTTCAAAGCACTGCTTCTTCCCGAGCCTTGTCGCCCCTGCAGGAAGGATTGTGGATTTCGTTCCGTCTTTGCTGTACTTGACATTGAAGAGCTCATTCCAGATGCCATAGTGTGTTGGATCCTATGCATGGGAGTAAGTAGATGGTTAGCTGAGACTTGAATCCTATTTAGATCTCTTATCTTTAAAGACTAGTTGATTTGCTTAATTGGATGGAGCTTCAGTATAAATTTCATGCACTACGACCCTATTATTAGACTCATATGTTGAACACCATAGCAAGCAGTTGAACAGTCATGCCGAATGAGAAGGGTAATGCAGATGTCTGTGCCGTTCTGAAAACTGATCTTTGCAGCTTGAGAACACCTTCATTCATAAAATCGAAATCTGAGAAAGTGATAGTACCTCATAAGGTCGAAGTCGACTGAAATCGAAAGGCGAACAACCAGCCTCGACTGGAAATCTAGATACACAGTTATCAAACTTGGAAAGTATGGCGTGGCGCGGAAGTGCTATATTGAAGTAACCAAGGACCGATAGCGGCCCTGATCACAATGACAAGCTTGTCCCTATGGACAAGACTTGAACTTGGGAGATAGAGTCCAGACTTTCTACCTTTATAGTGCAGCTGGCACCTAAGAAATCAAAGTTTAGCATTTAGTCTGTAATTATAGAAATGTACATATTAGTCTTACATGTGTACAGTTGAGCCTTCAGCTCACAAACCATTAATGTGGGGTCGATATGGTCATCAGCATCGAGTCATCAAGCGTACGTCTCCAGAATTTGCCGTCGACCGACGGAACTCTCGAATACGCCCCGGTTCATGGACAAAGATTGCATGCACGTAAGGAGAGTTGTAGATCACGAAGAGTAACAATTATAAGTCGGCTGTTTAGGAATATGGAAAACAATATAACGAAGCTGTAACCAAGAATTAAAATTTATCCAAGAGGGGAAAGGATTGCAATGCTGATCGATGATATAAGATGAGTAATTTAGGAATTACCTCAACTGATGTAGGAACAAACATGATTGACAGGACAAATTTTGTAGGTACGGGCAAACATAAACTTTGACGTCAACCATTCTCACAGGAAAATAATGTTCTCGAACATACAAAAAATAAACACATATGTTCATAACTCACATCTGTCGCAGAGCTAGACACCACGAGTCTTATGCACGTGTAATATTAACGGAGCCTTATAGGAAAGGATCACTCTACCACTGCTGTAGTGAATACCTATTCATGGTCCTGCGACAGAGAATCTGAACATGTCTACGCTTATTCTGAAGATTGCACATTCTTTAGAGTGCCCATTGACATCATGGTCTCTCTATACATACTAGTAACTTTGACGTAAAATCTGTAAATATTGAACAAAAAGAATCAGCACTTTTTTTTTTTACAGTAGCTTCTTTCCAAAAATTACTCTTATCAAACATACCACGACTGGTAGTAAGTATCTCCTCACCTGATTATCCGGCTCCCTTACTGTGGCGCGTTATTAAGTCAAAAGGCCGGTTAACTAACTCATAGCTGCGAAGAAGTCTGGCATGATATGTTGAATATTGACAATATACAAGTGACCACAAGCATTGAATATTGTAGAAAGACCTATTTTCCAGACTTCAGATTCTGGGTCTGTGGTTCCCCACTTTTGGCAATTTTGAGGAAATTAAAACATTTTTGGAAAACTGTACCCTGGCAGCATTGTAAATAGCCTTCGGTACATCAAAACGGAGTGAATCCGGAAGATCGCGGGGATTCTCGAGGGATCTTGTAGAATCTAGGATTTGGGGTGCAGCAGTAAGGACAGGCACCACCCTCCCTGCGAGCTCTGCAGTTAGGACCCCTACGACGCAAGGCGCAAAACCCGCCTTCGGAGGTTGCGTCCGCGGCGGTAGGGAAATCCTGCATAATTAGGTCAACCCTCGGGCGCCTTGACCAAGTTAGGGTCTCGTTGGAAAGAGCTCGACGCACTGATTCCAACGAGTCCAAGAACGCTTGGAACGGATGAGGACTTAGGGAGTTATCACTATTGGAAGATACGGAGACGGTCGCCTTCGGCGGAAGGAGTTCGCCACCGGCGGGAATTCCGCCTACGCGGAAGGGGGAATCAAGTTTTGTCCTATGCGCGGACGAAGGCGTTCGCCTGTGCACAGGCGAAGTAGGGTTTGGGGAGGCGCGAAGTCCGCCTACGCACAGGCGTTCGCCTGTGCACAGGCGCTTCGGCGTCGGCGGAAAATCCGCCTTGGGCCCTAGAAATGCGCCTTGTGAGGTAGAAAGTGTACGGCGCCTTCCGCGCCAGCGCAGCGCCGCGTACGGCGGAAGAGCCGCCAGAGTAATCAAATCTGTACGGACCATGCGGACGGGACGGGTGGATGCGCTCTTGGACGGACGGAGTTGCGGCGGCGGAAGCGCCGACGAAGAGACAAGAAACGGACAGGCTGGACGGAGACGGCTGACCACGGTCAACGCCTTCCGCGCCAGCGCGACGCCGCGCACGGAATTCGCCTGCGCACAGGCGAGCGCCTGTGCACAGGAGGATGAAGTTCCGCGCCGGCGGAGAATCCGCCGAGGAGTCTGCCTGCGCACAGGCAGGAGTTGAACTTTTGTCCGACATGCGGACACACGCGTCAAGGCAGAGGGGGATTGGCCGAGGGGCGGTACGAACAAGTGTACCGCGCAAGGCGGAAAACTCGCCTTCGGCGCTACGCCCCCATGTCCGCGGGGTAATACGCTCGCGGAGTTCAAATCCGCCAATTCGAGCGTGAGAGTTTAATCGGCGACGGCGGAGCGTGAAGCCGCGCGTGAGAGCGGAGACCGTTCCAGCGTAGAGCCGGCGCGGCCATCAAGTGAGACGTTCTCCACGAGCAAGAGCCGACCATGACCTTCGACCGGGCGGCGGAGAACGTCCCATTCTTGAATTCGCGATTCCAATCTCTTGTGCGCGCTGCGCGCATCCATCTGCTGGCTGCTAAACATTCTCGACGTCGCCGCACAGGAGATTTCTTGTTGATTGAGGGAGAAGTGAATGCGCGTGATTTGGAATTGAGGGCGATTAGAGTTTGCCGAGAGAGAAAGGAGCTCGGGCGGTGCGGAAGTAGAATGAGCGGGCGAGCGAACCCCAGGAACGCAATGACGAGACCGAGCAGATTGCGGATGGTGCCACTTCGCCTACCACAGAACGGGCTGCGCGCTTTCGAGGAGCGCTTAATAGCAAGAAAGCTCGATTTCTTGCTATGGGGATGGAACTACATCTGTGCGAATATGGTGCGCGAGTGGCTAGAGCCACAGGGACCACCCTCGCGCGGATTGCGTCCGCATGTTGATCGGTGGACAGTCCAAGATTGGGCGCAGGCGTTGGGAAGATGTGCTGGCATGCCAGGGCATCTCCTTTTCGACAGTGAGAGCATCAAGGTGACCAAGCAGGAAGAGGCGCAATTTGTGGAGCTGTTCAAGACCGGGAGGTCTACCAAGAATGGGTACAGGACCCGTGATTACAAGGATCGATTTCGCCGGACTTTGTCCGCGGCGCTGATGCAATTACTGCAGCCACACCGCGCCTGCTACATCACATTGTGGCAGGTCTCTTTTGTGGAGTGCGTCATCGAAGGAACTCCAATTCACTGGGCGAGCATCCTGCACAGGGTGATGCGACAGCACGCTTTTGAGGAGAAGGGGGGAACTCTAAACCATCTTTCTCCTTTCCTCATCAATTTTTATCGACAGCGGAATTGTTTGACAGCGGCGGAGCTTGAGCATTTTTCGCCATTGTCCGTCGACCATCCCGGGAAGTATGTGCGGGAGAATGAGGTCGACACTGATGCAGAGGAGTCACCGACTTCTACCCCATCAAGGCGGAGGGACGAAGGGAGAAACACTCCTGCAGCACGAGTGCCGCGGAAGCGGCGATGGAGAGAAGAGTCCGAAGAGGAGCAGCATCAAGAACCCTCTGCTCCCATTCGACCGCGGCCGCTGTACGAGTCATACAGCCGGCCGAAGCAGAAGGCACGCAGACTAGTGTTACCAGCCGACAGTGCGGACACGGCAACAATTGCGACGGAGAAAGGAAGTGCGTCGCCAGAGAAGCATGAGGAAGCGCGGACGACCGCAGGAGCAACGGGCCACGCTGCAACCTCGACGGGAGAGAGGCCGCCTACGGGCCAAGGGCCTCCGGAGTTACCACGTGCGTTGCGGACAGATGTTCCGTTTGCGCACAGACGAGACTCCGCGGACGGACGAGCCTCCGCGGACAGGCGATCACAAGTGGACGTGGATCTACGCTTACGCGTGGGAAGGAGCAGTCCGCCTGTGCACAGGACACCTCCACACGTGCCGCCTGTGCACAGGCAAGAATCACCCCCGTTCCAACGTAGGAAGGGGAAGGAGCCGGCGGAAGAACCGCCTACGAGACACCGGCCCTCGGGGCC